GCAGTGATTAGACTTATGTATCGGTATCATTATTCAGATAGTTATCCGGCTAAATTTCCACGAGATAAGAGATCGTATTGGAAGAGAGCCACGAAGGATCGTCCATTAAGCCTACCTAACCCTCTCGAGTGGGTTCACGGTTGACGATCGTCCGTCAGACGTTATCCTCGACCGGTAATTGGCGAACTTCAGACGAATAATTTTCATTCATCGGTATACCAGCCAGTAATTATATGATACATCGGATTCGGCTAATGGGGAACACTCGAAGTCTCGGAGACTCGGTGTAATCGATGACATCGAGCTAATCGATTCACGATGCAAACTCCTCGACGAAACTCCTCGTCCTATTGCCATTCCTCCTCTTCCTTATTCGATATCGAAATATGAAATAGAATTATTGTTTTAAAATTTATTTTATTTAGAGGAAAAGAGAACGGAAAAAAAAGAAAAATCAAGAGGAACTCGATTCAGAAGAAGAAGGAATTGGAGAAAAAATGGAAAATTTTACGTAATGCAAAGGTTGATCCATAAAATTGAACCGTATCTGAACCTCACACGGAGGATTAATCTCTCCTCGTAGTAATCCCTCCTCCTAATATCTCCATTCAAGAAATTTATCTCCTAGAAGCACCATCCATGTGTCAAACAGGGGGTTTGTGCAAAAAAGAAAACAGAGAGCCGAGATTCGAACCAGAGATCGTGGGCATATATTACATCGATACTTTTTTCCTCCTCGTCCAAAAGACTTCGTTCACCCTTGTGTACCAAGGTGTGGCCTCGAAGACCCCGTGATGATCATCGTCATCTTGCCTCTGTGGCGAGCCATCAACGCGTGCTAAGCACGAGCTCTTTTTTTCCTTTTTTTTTTTTTTTTTTTTTTTTTTTTTTTCTATTTTCCACACTCCTTCTCATCGTACCATCGTTCCTCTTTCCACGAGGGGATCCCCAACAACAACGAGACCGCCCCTTGTTTTATCTAAATTCCCTCCCCTGTTACCCACTCGTGGCTCGCCGATCTTTTCGGTCTATTTGGTAACATTTTTTTTCGAAGGGATACGATAATTCAGGTAAAGATGGAACAGTGAGAGAGAATTTGTGTAAAGAATTTCCATCGCTATCTATCGGTGCTCCTTTCCTATTGAAACTGTAATTGATGCACTTTATATATAATTCAAAAGAGAATTTTTTAGTACAATAAATATAAAGAAAAATAAAAATCCTCTAAATTTCTTTTCTCCGCGCAAATCGATTCGAATTCATTCGAAGATTCGTCAAAATCTACCGATATCGTCAATATCAACGTATCCACGATAATACCAACGTCAAATCTTCAGCAAAATTTCTCAAATTTCGCGGATTACTGGCGCGTTTTTCGTCACTCCCTTTCACCTTAGGAGAAAAATGGCCCCCTCCGTACACGCGAAGATAGCCACACCAGGGTGTTCCCCGATATATTTTTATTACCGTGATCGGATCTGGATTGGTCGGACGAACGCACCCTTGCACCCGTCCAACCTCCAACCGGAATCGAATTCGCGCCAGCGGTGCAATAAATCCCCACGAGCTGCTCTATCGTAGATTTATCATAGTCACGCATTCGCGTCTGCTCGACGATAATTGCAGAATCGTTGGTGTCCCTGCATCGCACAGATCGTTGGTCGTGGTTGCGTTTGGGGTGGACGTCACGAGGGTGAGAAAAATAATGATTCCTGGCATTTTTTTTTCAATAGATCGGAGGAGTGAGAGGGGGTTCTTGCGGTTCTTGT